TGTCGCGGCAGGGGGCTCCCCTCGGCCGCCTCCCACCCAGGGTTCGCCGCATTCCCACAGCCCGGCTGGTTCCCGCTGGCCGTGTGGGGCCTCCCTGGGGTCCCCGCCGTCCCGAGGAAATGGGCCGGTTCCGAGTCTCCGCGGCCCCCCCAGCCCCACGGCCGCACAGGAAAGTCTGAGAGCCAGGACGCCCGCTTCCAGGAATGTCAGGCCGAGGAGCTAGCACTGTTTCCCAGGCTTCTGGCGGCCCCGGAGAGCTCCAGGCCAGCCCTCTCTGGGCCCTGGGACCCCGCACCCTCAGTCCCCGGCGGTGGCACCACCCGGCCTTGGCAGTTGCACCGTGCAGCAAAACAGCCGAGCCAGGAGGTGAGCTCTGAGGCCCAGACCCCAGCCTGGAGCAGGAAGCCGGGGGTGCCGGTGGAGAGACAGTTGAGGGGGTGGCCCAGCACCCCTCCGACACCCCCTCAGCTTCCGCCAGGGGAGGCCGCAAAGTGTGACTTCCTGTGCTGGGGCTGCAGATGGGGCAGGGAGGCTGAGACCCACCTGTGGTCTAACCCTGACCCAGCCACCTTGCAGGGACACACTTCGCTCTCCCTTGCCCCCGCACAAACGTGTTCACTGAATTAAAATGTGTTTGCCCGCTGAATGTCAAGATCTTGAGGGAGCTCGTGACGGCTCCTCCTCCAAGGGCCCAACTGAGGTCTGCACCCTCCTGTGACACCCCCTCCCTCCGTGATGGTGCGTGAGCCTTCCCCCAGGCTCATGAGCTACTCAGCCCTCCGTGAACTTGAATAACGCGAATTGACCCTATCTACTTGGGGCTCTTATCAGAATATGGTTATCTGGGTGAGCAGATATGATCGTCTCAAACTGCCCGTGAACCCTATGAGATGAGAAATCAAAGAGTATCTTGGTCAGATAGTGTCTCACCAGGCCCCCAGAGCTGGAGGAACAGATAAAGATGGGTAGACGAGCTGGGCTCGGTGGCTCAGCCTGTAATCCCGCGCTTTGGGGGGCCGAGGTAAGTGGATTGTCTGAGCCCGCGGGTTCGCTGCCTGGGCAACTTGGCGAGACCTCGTCTCTACAATATATCAAAAATTAGCCGGGCGTGGTAGTGCGCGCCTGTAATTCCAGCTACTTGGAAGGCTAAGTGGAAGGATTGCCGGAGCCCAGCAGGGCG